AATCAGTATTGCGCACGCACGTAGGAAAATGAAAATTACATGTAATGAAAGCCCTTTGCATGAGGTTTCCAACGGTATATTGGTTTTTCCGAGGAAACGATTCTATCGCGAGATACATGCCTTCAATATTCACTGTAGCGGGGTTTTTAGGTATCCTGCGCGGCTTGTTTCTTTGCCCATCGTGATGGTGCACGTCCCAGGTCATATTAAATAATACATGAAACAGGGCACTAAATAGACAATTTTTCGATCTCGTTTATCGATTCCCTGCCTCAGAAAAATCGATGGTGTCAAACACTCAACGTGAATGAAAACACTCAGGTATACAGGATGCAAGAAAAAAGTCACAATCTCAGGGATTGTGTTATAGGGGAGACATGATACCTACATAAAAATGGACCCGTTGTTTCTGAGATTCCATTGAACTCGTAGGTTTAATATTCGTTTAACATTTGGTAATATACAGTTGGCAGTATGTGTCAGGTTCGTCTCTATATCTGCATCTCTCTCGACTGCATATCTGCATCTTTCTCTCCCTGCTCGCCGCTGCATGGACGGCAGCCCACTTAGATAAGAACTATCCCCTGTTTCATGTAATATTCAATAGGACCTGAACCGCTACAGTGAACATTGAAGGCATGTTTCTCGCGAAAAAATTGTTTCCCAAAAAACCAATATACAACGCCAACGCCAACGCACAAAGGGCTTTCATTACATGTAATTTTCATTTTCCTATAAGCGTGCGCAGTACTGATTTTTTGGGGTGCGAATGACGGGGGACCTCAAAAAGTACGCCAAGTCGGACTTTAAAGGCCTGTATTTCGCGATAGAATCGTTTCCTCGGAAAAACCAATATACCGTTGGAAACGTCATACAAAGGGCTTTCATTACATGTAATTTTCATTTTCCTACGTGCGTGCGCAATACTGATTTTTTGGGGTGCGAATGACGGCGGACCTCAAAAAGTACGCCAAGTCGGACTTTAAAGGCCTGTATTTCGCGATAGAATCGTTTCCTCGGAAAACCCGATATACCGTTGAAAAGCTCACTGAAAGAGCTTTTATTACATATGAGTTTCGTTTTTCTGCCAGCGTTCGCAATACTAATTTTTTGAGGTGCGAATGACGCGGGACCTCCAAAAAGTACGCCAAGTCGGACTTTGAAGGCCTGTATCTCGCGATAGAATCATTTCCCCGGAAAAACCGATATACCGTTGGAAAGCTCACATTAAGGGCTTTAACTACGCGTGTTTTTTATTTTCCTACGTGGTGTCCCAATAATGACTTTTTTAGGTTAACCGTATTTTTGCACCTTGAAAAAATCGAAAAATTGCCAATTTTTGGGTAAATTTGGCAACAATGGATAAAAACTATATACGAAATGATAGCTCTTTTTATGTTCTATCAACTCAAACAAACCGCACCTTCTTATCTTTAATTGCTCCAAAGTTATGGGGTTTAACAAGTTTCAACTTTAAAAAATGGCAACGTCGCACTCGGGGGGCTGGGCACTAAACCAACCCCGGATTTGGAGGCCGGAAGTGCCCCTCTATCACTGGTTTGAATTTCGTTAACTTTTGAAATGGGCAATTTTGGGGGGTCCGTGCATAGAGTCCTTTCCTCATGAAATTTCTTTTTATAATTTTTCATTTTTGTAAAGATGTAGCAATTTCTATTGCTCTCAGGAAGAAAATTAAGAATATCAGAGATATCATATGCTGCAGAAGTAAGGGAAGTCAGGAAAGGTTGTAATAACATAAACAATCAGCGCTGATCGCGGCGATTAATCGCTAGGTGTATACGTAATCGCACTGATGGTCTCTGTTGATTGTATTGCTTTGAGCGATGCGACCCGAACCAACCCAATCGCGGCGATTAATCGTCGTGTGTATCTAGGCCTTTATGTCTTTGGTCAAATGTAGGTAAGTCAACAGTAGAATGCTGAAGTTCCGAAAGTAAAAGCTTCCACCTAGAGTACCTATATTGAGAGAGTATGGCCACTGGAGTTACCACCTCTGATTGGCTCAGCCATCTTAGGCTGAATGGAGCCCTTAGGACCCAAAAATGGCGGACGCCATAAAGTTAATGTAATGCAAAATGATTCAAAATGTAGTTGTCTTTGCTTATCGTAACGAGAACTTAACCCAAATGCACTATTGCGACTTTTTTACATATTTTTAAGGCTAATCGTGTGCAATTTTCTAGAGTCCCTTTATACCCAGAGTTAAGACAACTCGATTATCAGCTGACTGGCAGCCGGCCTTAGCTGGCCATGGAGGCCGAAACGAGTGCACCCAAACGAACGATATTGAGGGATAAGGATCAGGAATCCTGCGATGTCTGTCATACAAAAACAACAACATCAACAAATTGATCAATTAAAAAGAAAATGAGATTGGTTTGTGAATAATTTCTTATTCTCTTTTCATTTTGGACCGATGGAAATGACAATTTACTCTTGATAAACCACAATTAGGTGATATTTTCATTATTCTTGTTCACATTCGAGGTACCGCCATCTTGGTGCACTCGTTTCGGCCTCCATGAGCGAGAACCAATCAGAATTGGATTTTTTTTTAGGCCACTTTCAGCCGAACCAAAAGTGAGTTGTCTTAACTCTGGGTATAAAGGGACTCTACAATTTTCGAGAAAAATGATCTTAGATGTAGTAAGGTTGGCAGCAAGCGCGGTTGGTGATAACCGTCAAAAGTTGGCAATGACCCCCCTCCCATCCTCAAAAACCAAAACAAAGCACCGCCATTTTTGGGTCCTAAGCCTCTCCATGGTAGAGTACCTGTATAGGGAGAGTAGCGACAGATCGGTTCATGGAGGGCTTAGGGCCCAAAAGTGCAGCCACCCTTCTGAGCAACTTCTAACACACAAAATTTCACTGCCAGCCTACAGAGTTCAATTCTAACCAAGATGGCTAAGAATGTACATAAATGAGCGTTCTTTCGCAAAAATAAGTAAATTTATGCAAAAAGTAAACCAAATACATGCTTTCTAAACGACGGTTCGTAACAATTGTATTTGTAAATCGCTCTGGACATTCGAAATTCATAGGTTGGCTGCCCTTTTGGGCCCTAACTTTATTCGCGGAGGCGTCGGTGAAGGCCTGATGGACTTTCGGAGTTTCCGATCTGTCGCTACTCTCCCTATACAGGTACTCTACTCCATGGGACCCAGTGGCCATACTCTCTCTTAATATAGGTACTCTACTTCCACCGTGGCTAAGATGGTCCTTGGTGAGCGGTGAGCTGCTTTCTGCATCTAGAGTACCTGTATAGCGAGAGTATGGACAGATCGCTTCATGGAGGGCTGAGGGCCCAAAAGTGCAGCCACCCTTCTAACCAACTTCTAACGCACAAAATTTCACTGCCAGTCTGTAGATTCCAATTCTAACGAAGATGGCTAAGAAAGTACATAAATGAGCGTTCTTCCACAAAAATGAAGAAATTTATGCAAAAACTAAGTCAAATACGTGCTTTATAAACGATGGTTCGTAACAGTTGTATTAATAAATCGCTCTGGATAATTGAAATTCATAGGTTGGCTGCATTTCTGGGCCCTAACTTTATTCGCGGAGGCATCGGTGAAGGCCTGATGGATTTTCGGAGTTCCACATCTGTCTATACTCTCGCTATACAGGTACTCTTGTCTGCAGGTTCCAATTCTAACCAAGATGGCCAAGAATGTACATAAATGAGCGTTCTTCCGCAAAATTGAGTAAATTTATGCAAAAACTCTGAGTCAAACACGTGCTTAATAAACGACGGTTCGTAACATTAGTATTAGTAAATCGTTCTGAATAATTGAAATTCATAGGTTGGCTGCAATTTCTGGGCCCTAACTTTATCCGCAGAAGCATCGGTGAAGGCCCGATGGATTTTCGGAGTTTCACATATGTCCATACTCTCGCTATACAGGTACTCTATCTGCATCTGCTTCTGCTTCACCTCCTTCATCAAGGTTTGTCCAGTTGAACGTAATGCAGTGCTAGCGGAGTTTTTACATCTTTACTTAAATTCTGCTTCGTAGTACCCAGCCTCGGAGATGTCTGTTGCCTACGGAAGAGCATTCGGTCGGGCCCCCAAATTTTCCCGTAAGAGCGAAAGTTTTATTTATTCTCTTGTCTCTAGAGTGATAAGATTGTCAATGACCTTTACTTACCCAGCTCTGAAAATTTTTTTGTGCATGTGCATATCTCGAAGTTGAAGGTACTTGCTATCTTTCTCTATTGTTTTCTCGAAATTTTCATAATCAGAATTTGTCTTCCATTACCCACTGTGCTTTATCCTGGCCGCCAAGCTCTTGCCCAGAATATCACTCAGTTACACTCTCTGCGTCATGGTATTATTGCGCCGATGAAGCACCATTTGGCTTATTTCTAAACAAAGTAGCTAATGATGGCGAATTTCGAGAGTCATATGTACTGGGAAGTCTAGTCCTTGCACCAGTTCAAACAATGGAGATGTTGCACATGTGAGGAATTTGCGATTAGACCAACAATTCTTATGTAAAAGTTAGCGAGAAACACGATGGAGTTACTGGTTCTCTCTGAAATCAACTCCTAAGCTCAAAAAAGCTCTCGAATTGAGGCCAAGATGGAGAGGATATCCCACGCTATCGTGAGAGTCCACCTCTTCATCCAGACGAACTCTCCATGCAAGAATAGGGAGCAATTACATAAGCAGGATTCCTGTGTTTTCAGGTTTAGATAGAGTCCCCAGATAAAGTCGCAGCCCTGTGAATGTATTTGCACCCCATCTTTGCATGGAGAGTTTCTCTTGATGTAGAGGTGGACTCTCAGGATAGCGTGGGATATCCCCCCCATTACGCCCTCAACTTGAAAGCTTTTTTTGAGCTCGGGAGTTGATTTCAGAGAAAACCAGTGGCACCATCGTGAATCTCGCAAACTTTTACATTAGAATCCACTGTCATATCGCAAATTCCTCACACATGCTTCATCTCCATTCAAGATATTGGGAAAGAGTAATTAAGGCCGCAGTAGAAGGTATTCATACTGAGCCCAATTCACACCATTCAACTCTTTACCTAACTTTTCATTGGCTCTTGTTGAGTGGAAAGTTGGGGCGTGTGAAATTGATCGAAAAACATACCATTTTGATGAAAAGTTGGGAATGGAAACTTGAATGCAATGTTACGTTCAAAATTTCATTCATTTCTCCATCATCTATTCAATTGGCTGCATCTCAGGGTTTATAATCAGTAGGGCGCAGAGATTGGAGGGTTTTCCATGATCCTCGGATGCGCAGGGATGAGTGGTGGCCCTCATCCGATGGGAAAGTCGTACAGGTAACTCACTCATACACTGGAACATTGCGGGAGTGTTTAGTCAGTGGGTGAGAGTGTGTGTGTGGAATTAATGGGCCAAGTGCCGGATGTGAACTCTCTTGTGCCACATGCTTTACTAAAAAATTTGTACCAAAAACACGAAGAGTGATGCAGGTCCCCCTCTCCTCACACCCACCAGGATATTGCTCTACGATGGAAACGTGGATGGATGCTTTTTCCTTAATGAATATGATATAATACAGGAGCCATCAGGGAGGAGTTGCCCACCTCCCCCCTCTCCAATCACGTACGTTTTTGGTAGCAGGATGTATGAGACTTGCAATGCTCCTAATTTTGTGCCATTTTTGACAGCGTTTGCGGCAGATGAAATTCATTCTTAGATGTAGCTTCAGGGAAAAATTCATGGCAGAACTGTCTGATACGTTACTGACGACCAGAGAACTACATTGCACAACCTTGGTAGCATTGGAAGTCTCGTATGCCCCCTTACCGAACAATGCTTCAATTAAGTTTGTTGTCTTAGAAACATGAAATATAAAATGTCGACTTGGTGAAATGGGAGGGACAATCATTCAAATTTTTTTCAAAAACAGAGAACTTGCTTATAGTTCTGTAAAAGATAAGGAGGGCTGCCCCTTGTCCCAGAGGACTGCCCCTTGTCCCAACCCTTATGCTTTATTTCCTCGATTTATGATGAGCACATCTCTAATTGTTTCCTTTGTTGAATTGATGAGAAGAGCATGAAACTGTCAGAGGGCCCAAGAGGACCCTCTCAAGCGCAGAGCTTCTTTATTTTCAGTTCTATGAGGATCAGGTGACAGTCCACTGTTCATACAGGGTTATTCAAAAGTTACGCACCACTGGCCATAGCTTAAGTTCTAATTATGATATCGATTTGCGGTTTGTGGCGTCCTTCCTCATATCGAGGGGGAAACTTTTTGAGGTACTTCCCACTTCTTCACCCCCCCAGGGGGAGGGGGGGCGGGGGGCAACTCAAAAATTTCAAATGGCAACCCCCATCATGTGATACATCGTTAGAAAGAGCATGAAAAAAGAAAATTTTTGGCGCAAACCCGAAGTCGATCTGACCCCCCTATCAAAAGTTAGGGGGGTCCAAAGGTTATTTAGGGGGTCCGTACCTTCATTTTTTAGAGTAGCTTCGGCGGCTCTTAGACATACCGTTTCTCTTTTCAAAGAGTCCTTGAATACTCCAGGTCTGATACCGAAGTCTTCATATTGCCCCCGGGCCACCACAGCCCCCCCGTAGGGGGAATGGGCCTGTTACAATGAAACATTGCATTAAAATGCGGAAAGTCACAGAAGAGCTTCAAACTTAGCATCAAATCCGAGTGGAACTTCTTGCCAATGTTAACGCAAACGCAGCCTGCGACTTTAAAGTGAGTTTTCAAAACTCTTAGCCCCCTGCCCCCCTCATTTTTGGTTGCAGAGCGGGTAAAAACCGGGAAATTCACTACAAATAAGCCCAAAACTAATGTCCAACTTGAGAAGGACCCTTGAAACGTTGCGATCAGTCGGAGCATTGAAATACAGGGACTGCCGCCCCCTTAAAGTACGGAAACATCCATAAAACCCCCGCTGCCCCCCTCTTTTTTCGTTGCAGAGCTGGTAAGAACCGGGAAATTCGCCAGAAATGATGCCCCGGTTCCTATAACAGCCCCGCAATGAAAAATGAGGGGGGCGGCGAAGGGTTTTATGAATGATTCCATCCTTAAAGTGCGCGGCAGTTCCTGTGTTGCAGCTCTCCGACTGGGCGCAACGTTTCAAGGGTCCGCGTCAAGTTGGACAGTAGTTTCGGACATCATTTCTGGCGAATTTCCCGGTTCTTACCAGCTCTGCAACGAAAGAAGAGGGGGGCAGCGGGGGTTTATGAATGATTCCATCCTTAAAGTGCGCGGCAGTTCCTGTGTTGCAGCTCTCCGACTGGGCGCAACGTTTCAAGGGTCCGCGTCAAGTTGGACAGTAGTTTCGGGCATCATTTCTGACGATTTTCCCGGTTTTTACCCGCTCCGCAACAAAAAATGAGGGGGGCAGCGGGGGTTTTATGGATGTTTCCGTACTTTAAGGGGGCGGCAGTCCCTGTATTTCAATGCTCCGACTGATCGCAACGTTTCAAGGGTCCTTCTCAAGTTGGACATTAGTTTTGGGCTTATTTGTAGTGAATTTCCCAGTTTTTACCCGCTCTGCAACCAAAAATGAGGGGGGTAGGGGGCTAAGAGTTTTGAAAACTCACTTTAAAGTCGCAGGCTGCGTTTGCGTTAACATTGGCAAGAAGTTCCACTCGGATTTGATGCTAAGTTTGAAGCTCTTCTGTGACTTTCCGCATTTTAATGCAATGTTTCATTGTAACAGGCCCATTCCCCCTACGGGGGGGCTGTGGTGGCCCGGGGGCAATATGAAGACTTCGGTATCAGACCTGGAGTATCCAAGGACTCTTTGAAAAGAGAAACGGTATGTCTAAGAGCCGCCGAAGCTACTCTAAAAAATGAAGGTACGGACCCCCTAAATAACCTTTGGACCCCCCTAACTTTTGATAGGGGGGTCAGATCGACTTCGGGTTTGCGCCAAAAATTTTCTTTTTTCATGCTCTTTCTAACGATGTATCACAAGATGGGGGTTGCCATTTGAAATTTTTGAGTTGCCCCCCGCCCCCCCTCCCCCTGGGGGGGTGAAGAAGTGGGAAGTACCTCAAAAAGTTTCCCCCTCGATATGAGGAAGGGCGCCACAAACCGCAAATCGATATCATAATTAGAACTTAAGTTATGGCCAGTGGTGCGTAACTTTTGAATAACCCTGTATATTGAGACCATGACGAATTTCATAAGAAGGATTGAAGAAAAAAATCTTACCTTTTTTGGTTTCCATACTAGTAATCTGACCTGTTGAGGGTTTTCTGAATTAAGCTCTCGTTTTAAAAACAGTCCCTTAATGTAATACTTTAGATCTGCAACCTTGCTGAAGCATAGTAGAACTACACTCAGTTTCTCAAAACTGAGAAAATGTTCTGATTATTTTTATTCATTGATGAAACACTTGCTTTCATTCTTACAAAAAACTTAATTTTGTTTTCAGACTCCCTGAGGAAGTGGGCGTGGTCTATCTCTGGTTTCAAAGAATATGGTATGAGTAAAATTCCAAAGATCACCTATCTTGCCCTAGTATGCCTAATAGTTCCCTTAATAATTGTTTTACTGGCTTTCTTCATTTTAAAAATTACTCCCAATCCAAAAATGATTTTACTGAGCAACTATTGATGGGAGACAAATCGGAATTAGACTGTTGTTTGCGTTACACTCTCAGTTTTAGTTTGAGCTGTGGTGTATTAAATTTAAAGCAACCAAAGGCCCAGGAGATCAATTTTCTCCTGGCCGTCATCAGTGCACTTTCTGCCACCTCCAGGTGCGCGATAATTTAATTGTGGTACGCAGCGTAGAGTTAGAGCAGCTACGAGCGACGCAGCTAGAGTTGTAATGTAAATTGGAGAGCTGGCGCCATGTCCTGGTCCACGAGTTCTGAGCTCGATGTGCGCCGAGCTTTGGTCACTTGTTTGATACATTTTCAATCCAAAATAACGATATAAAATACATAGTAATTCCTATCCTCTCAGTTTACATCAGATGGCTGGGTCTCCGTGTATCGAAAACAGCCGGTAGTGTATTGAAAAATTTTTGCGGCGTGAAACAGGAGTCTCGGAATTCGGGACCTAGAAAGTGCTTCAAAGTGGTGCCAGCTCTCCCATTTACATTACAACTCTATGTACTCTATGGGTATGCATAACTTTGAATAGGTGAGGGATCCTTTCAGCCAACTATTTGCCTCGGGAGTGAAAATTTAAAGCCAATTACCACCTATTACCGCTGTGAAAGTTCACAAATGTCTCGTTAAGTAAAACATAATAGTCGGTGGGGTTTACTCACTCAGTGGGTTTAGTTACTGCACGACAATGCTCATCCACATGTTTCAATTTAAGTATGTATGCTGTCGGAAAAAAATTTCTGTTGGGAAGTTCTGGACGAAAGCCCAGACTTGGCTTGGCTTTCCTACTCCTCTAGATTATTGTCTCCTCCGAAAATTGAAGAAGTCACTTGGAGGGTTGCAAAAGAGTTCTTGCATGTGTCAGGGATTTTTGATACTAGTCCTCTTTTTTAGTAGAATCCTTCGAGAAACACGATGGTGCCGCTGGTATTCTCTGAAATCAACTATCATGCTCCTAAAGAACTCTCCGAGTTGAGGCCTTAATAGAGGGAATATCCTACGCTATCCTACGCCTTCTGAAACTCTCCATGCTTAGAAATGGGTGCATGAATACACACAGAATCACTCTGCCCTGCGAAAGCCAGAAAGCGTGGATGCAATAATTTTCTCATGGGAGAGAGCAAAGTTTTCTCAATGAACCATTTATATTTCTTACCTTCAAACAATTTGAAACTTTCTGAGGGTAAAGAGAACGAAAAAATCAAAAGTTTTGGCATCAGCCCATAGGGCATTTCGTAATAGGTATTCTATTTATACATTTCAAATAAATGTTTAAGTTGACCTTGTTGGCCATTCCGCGACTTGTTGACGGTTGGCCAGATGGCTTGATCCTTGCTGCTTTCGAGCAGAGTACCCTTTTGGGGAAAGTATGGCCTCATGGAGACTCTTTTAAGGATCAAAATATATTGCGGCGACTCCAGGTGGTAGAAGGTGGGAACGGTTAAGAAGGGGGTTTTGCCAACCTTTGAAGTTTATCACCTGCAGACCGACATTTACTTTCATAGATCCGAGCCATCAATCTGCAAATCTCATCTACAGCGCATCGATGATCAAACTTTTTGCAATTTTATATTGTGATTCTACCAGATGGATGAGTGATGGATCAGCTTAATTAGAAAACAGTGTTGAACGATTGCCTCAAGAGAAAAATATTCGCTCTAACCAATCAGAAATCTCGATTCACCGAGTGAAGAAGAAGAAGTAGCAGAAGAAGCGTGCAGGAACCAGAAAGAAGCAAAAAAGTAGTTTACTTTGACTTCGGATCATTCTCAAAGTTTTAGGCCAACAGGATAACAACGCTCAACATGAGTTCTGTCCTTCAAACCAAACCAATTTTTTTCGATTCCTAGGTGGTATAGAAGTCCGAAAATGCGCATAATAACTTCAGGAAAATTGGCTGGTGCTCAGGGCGCCGCCATTTTGAATTTTCCAAAATTGAGAAAACCCACGATCTGTTTTTTGGAAATATCTCCTCAACGGATAATCTTATGAAAAAACCAAAAAAAAAAACCAGCAGAAAGAGCATAAAATTTCGTACTGAAATCACCCTCCTCTGGTTTTTCTAGCATAATTTTTTGGTCGTAAAATTAACAGTCGTAATTTTATAGGAATTTTTTTCTTAAAAAATTAGCTAAAAAAAGGCGTGTTTTTGCTGATTTTAGGAGAAACTTTGCTTCATATCTCCAGCCACGATTATCTGAACAAAAACTGTTATGCTCATTGAAAAGAGCTGAAAGACTTCTAGAAAACGTATGTCAATGGTTCCTAAACTTGATTTAATCCTGAGAAAAAGCAGTTTATTAGCTCCGCCCTTAAATTGTGATTTTGTCGACCATCTCCTTTAAAATCAAGAAAAGAAGAAGAAAAAACCTAAAAACGTGGCCCAAACTATGTATCATGGTGGTAAAATAGTTCTGGGCCCACACTGTTTTTTTTTTGGGGGGGGGGCAAAGCCGAAAAGTTCCAAAATTTTCAATTAAATCCAAAAATTTTGAGATCTAATGAGGATCAGTACGAAACTGATGGGGGAGAGTGTTCAGCTCAGGCAGTTTGCATTGGACAATTAAGTTGAGGTCACGTCGAGAGATCTATAATTTGGGGTCTTTTCATACCTCATCAGTAGATCACACTCATCAGTGGACCCAACTGAAAATCTTGTAAAATCCAAGACTGCATCAAAGCACAATTTGGAAGTACAATTTTTGTACTGCAACAAGGTAAGTTTTGTACTGGTACTCATTAGAGCTCAAAATTTTTAATTCTGATAGGAATTTTTTTTTATTTTTTTTGGCTTTTGATCTCACTGACGAGTGTGATCTACTGATGAGGTATGAAAAGACCCAAAATTATAGATCTCTCGACGTGACCTCAACTTAATAGTCCAATGCAAACTGCCTGAGCTGAACACTCTCCCCCATCAGTTTTGTACTGATCCTCATTAGAGCTCAAAATGTTTGGATCTGACTGAAAATTTTGGACCTTTTCAGCTTTGCCCCCCCCCCCCCCCCCCC